ACCTGCGTGTGCCAACTGGCATCTGGATCAGCCCATTTCAAGTTGGGCCACAGCCACCAGTATAGCTCCTGGGGCAGCAGGTGTCCTCTCAGTAGAGTGGCACCTCTCCCGAGTGAGAAGGCATGTTCTGCTGCCCTCAGGGCTCAAGTCAGGGACTGGCCTTAGTCACCGGTCTTCCTGTCCTGGGCTGACAGGTCTGGCGGCCAGCAAGTCACCCACGGTGCCACAGAAGGCACCCACCTGGGGCCAGGCAGCTCCTGCTATGGGGGAAGGGGAGGCAGAAAGCCCAGTTCCTGCTCTTCTAGTGCTGCCAGCTGGCCATGCCTGCTCAGGAATCCACTCTTCCCTGGGCAGGGAGATGGGCTGACACACTGTCCCCCTCTGCAACCCTCTGCCCCAGGATCTGAGACCTGGCTATATGGGAGACCCACCCAAGGAGCTTCTCTAAAACACAACTCTGCCTGACTCTCACTCCAGAAATTCTTAATTAATTGGTTGGGCTTGGGGGTGGTGTAGGGGGGCCCAGGCATTAGGAACTTTCTAAAGCTTCCTGGTGATTTTGATGTGCAGCTGGGACTGAGAAGCCCTATAGGTGGGAGACAGAAGAGAAGGGACCTAGATGAGGTCGTGGAGTGTCGGACCTTATCTGTAGCATGAGCAGAACCAACCACTAGTGGTGATGGAGTTAAGTAAGGCAGAGATGCCAAGACTGGTGGGGACCCCCAGCTTGATCATAGGGCGGGGCTAGGACCCCCACACAGAGAGGGCTGTCTCTGAGGAACTGGAGGCTCAGCCCCCTCGGCCCGTTCCATGAGGGTCTAGGACAGAGAACCCAACCTGCTAGACCAGGGGCTGCTGCTCCCCAGGGATGGGGAGACTGGTGGACCTGGCTCAGGCCCGGAGCCTCCTCAGACACGTCAGCGAAACCGGAGCCAGCCATTCTGGCCGCCGGCATGGTCCCGCCTGCCTGGGGGGTTGGCAGACTCCTGGGCTGGGCTGCTGCCAGGCCTGGCCGGCAGGCCGGCACTAGAGCCACAGCCCAGACCCGTGGGGTCAGATCTGCAGCACCAGACCCCTGTACCCACTCTTTAGTGTCGGGTATAGGGGGTGGGTGTGCCTTTCTCTGCTTGTACCTCTTTCCCCACCAGCCAGGCTGAGATGCTCCAGCCTAAGGTCTGATGTGGTCACTCAAAAGCCAGGGTTCTACATACTGGCCATTCCCTCCCTGACCCAGGGCCTGTGTGTGAGTGGGTGCCTCCAGGTGTGTCCCACACTTGGGGGTGGGTGAGGACACTCTGGGTCCTCCTCAGAGCTGAGATGACGATGTCTTTACTCATAGAGTTCCTCCTTCTGCTCCGCCCTGCCCCCCCAGGTCATATGCTGAAGGTGCCGGCCAAAGGACAGCTCACTCCCCCCACCCCCTTCCAGAACTAAAGATACCCCTCTTCAGGCTGCTCTCCCCAGCTTCTCCGGCTCTCCCACACCCGAGGGTGGAGGCCTCACCCTCGGCCCCGGGGCCTCCTGTCTGTGCTGAAATATGCGTGGAACCCCTCTCGCACCATGGCACCCTCACCCCGTATGTGGAAGGCAGGACTTAGGTTTTATGGGTGACACTCTTGGTAGCTAATGTTTACCGACCACTTAGAATGTTCTCCAGGTACAAACTAAACAGCCCTGAGACTCAGATGCTATACCCAGCCCCCCTACTTCACAGACGGGAACTGAGGTGAAGGGCTGTGGCCAGGTTGTCATGTCAGACCCCAAACCCCATCCCAGCACTGTTCCCTGGAGGACCCCAAGGTGGGGCCAGGCCAAGGTGGGTCCAGCTGGAGGCCCTGGACACTTTGACCTCCTGGTCCCCCCCCCCCCGGCCAAATCCCAGGCTGCCTCCAGAATTCTCCCCACACCCTTTGCAGCAGGAAAGGTCCCACCTCCCTGCCTCGAGTCAGCAGATCAGATATCAAAGCCCAGGCCCCTGGTCCTTCAGAGCTGCTGAAATTGCAAGGGCCAGGGCAGCCGTGACCCCAGAGAGACACCCCCACCCCCAATGCACACACACACACCAGCACGCGCCCAGACAGGCGGGATCACTCCCAGAACTTGTTAAAAGAACTTCCCCATTTAAAACAAACAGAACAACCCAGAACTACAACCCCTGGGTGCTCGGAACAACTCCAGAGGCTGAAGCAAGGCTGGTGAGAAACAAGCCAATGGTTGAGAAGGGATCTAGAAAGCTATTTAGGAGTAGAACTTGTCTCCTGCTGCCCCAACTGTCCCCTCCACCGTCAGTCTTCGCCCTCTGGGTCCCCTCTTGGTGGCACAGCTCCTGGAGCTGACAGCCCTCAGCCTGCTATTTTCCCAGGCCCTGGTGCCAGCTCCTTGCTGGATGGGTAGAGTGGGCAGCAGCACTCATCCCTGCAGCACAGGGGGTGGGAAGCAGAGTAGCTGCTGCCTGTTGGGGTCTCCCCAGCCCAGAATGCCAGTTGCTCTTGTTCTGATCCAGCCCCTGCTCTCCACCAGCTCAGCCAGATTGCCACCCTGCAGCCAGAGACCCTCAGCTTCCCTGCCTCCCTCCCCCATGGTGGCTTTACTGATTAAAGGGCCAGGAGTGAAACCCAGAGCCCAGGCTGATCCCTTCCTCAATGCAGAATGGGACCACGCCTGGCAGCTCGATGTTCCGTGCTCCCGGTCTTGGGAGGTGTCAATTCTGAAATGCCCTTGTGGACAGATGAGGAAACTGAGGTACTGAGAGAAGGCTGCTGTCTGTGGCCTCACAGCTTGGACACCCCTGGCCCAGGGCTTCCTGACTGGAACGTGAGCTTTTAACCGTGACCTTATATGAGGCCCAGGGGGAGTTGAAGCCGCAGGGGTGGCCAGTCTGGCCACGTGTAGGACCCCCTCCCACTCCAGAGACTGGCTGCTCCCTTCTTGACCCTGCCTGCCCCACCCCCTGCCAGGAGGGCTGATTCAAGGGGAGGCAGCTCACCCCCTACGTGGATGAGGGGGCGGGGGTCGCTCACAGCCCACATCTGGAGGCCAGGCTGCACCCGCCACCCGCCGCCTTCTGAGTCAGTGAGGGTGGAGCGGGTCCACGCGGGGGAGGAGGCTGGGTGCGGCACACAGAGTCCCCTCGGGACGGGACTGCCAGCAGGGCCAGGGGCACATGAGGCCTCCCGGGTTCTGGCTGAGCTTCATCTGAGGCTGAGTGTGAGACCCTGCCCCACCGTTGACTCAACAAAGATGTGCTCTAGGGTGCACAGGAGCGAAAACAGACAGGGCCTCCCCTCAGGGAGGGGACAGTACAATCTGGAGAGCACAGGAGGTGGCGCTGCCTGGGAGTCAGGGAAGGCCTCTCTGGCTGGCCTCGAAGGGTAGTCATCAGTGTTTTAACTACTGAGAGGCAGAGAAGACTCTGCAGGCAGGCAGGGCCTAGGGAGGCCCAGCCTGGTGACAGGCTTTTACTCAGAGGTGGCCCCAGACCACAGTGGCCTTCCAGGGACCACCTTCCCTCCTCTGCCTCACGTTCCAGGAGCCCGCATACCTGGGGAGGGGCAGTCTGATCAACCGCAGCGGGTATAAGGCAGGCTGGGCTGGGGGCTGTGCTACCTGCTGTGGCTGGATGGCTGGCCAGTGTGGGGGAAGGGGAGGCTGAGCCCCAGCACAAAAGGCCCTTGTGCTTGCAGGAGGCACCTGGAGGGGAGGGGTGTCGGCCTCTCAGGGACTCTAGGGGCCCAGAATGTGGGCACTGCTGCTGCAGTGGCCCCCTGGGCTCCCCCCAGGAGCCTGAGTGAAGGGGGGCCCATGTCTTAGGCAGTTCCAGCTATGAGTGGGAGCCTGCAGCAGCTGGGGGAGCCACCCCCACCCCAGGCAGGACTGGGGCCCACGTCAGGAAGGCAGGCCCAGCTGCACCTGGATGTGGTTAAGGACCTGGGCTCCAGCTCAGATTTGCCGGCAGTGTGACAACAGCAAGTCACTGCACCTCTAGGAGCCCCCTTTCTCCTGTCATCTGAGTGTGGGGAGAATAGCTTCCACCTGGAGTGGCTGCTGGGGACTGAACGAGGGGACAGCAGATGCTCAGTGCCCCTGGCACATGGGGAGGGCTGCTCCTCTTGCTCAATGGTTGGCCCAGGGCAGACCCTGAGAAACAACAGAGGATCCAATCTGTGGAGCATTTCGAGGCTTGGCACTGCTTCTGGGGCCACCACCCAACCAACGTCCCCCAACCTGAGCACTGGGTCTACCCAGGAGGCTGGACCCCCCTCACCTCTAGTTCTGTCATCACAGCTGAGAGGCAGGGGATCTGGAGACCAGATTCCGTGCCTCCCCCCTTCCCACAGGGGACACCTGCCAATGGCTCCAGCCCTCCTCTGCCCTCTCCCCCAGGAACTTTCCTGCTGGCCACATCCTCGCAGGCCCACAGCTCCTGTCCTGGGCAGGTCTGACTTCACAAGTGGAAAAACACCAATCCCATAGTTTCCATGTGAAGTCTTCCCGCTGCGGTCTCCTCACTTGGAGGATGCCGAGCGTGGCAGCAGGGGCCGGCGGCCTGGGGCAGCCTGCTTCTCTACTTACGCGCTCAGGCGCGGCCTCCTGCCCGCCCGTCTGTCTCTCCCAGATGCTGCGGGAGGGGCTGCTGCTCCACCATTCTCACTCCTTCCTTACCCACTTCTGCAGAGATTTTGGGGGGAATTTGGCGAGGGGGGTGGGTGGAGTTGGGGCAGAATCTGATGCTTTTTGACCATGTGTTCTCTCTCAGCCATAGAGAGGTGAGAAGGCTGGGGCTAAGAAGGGAGGTTATTCATGGTCACTGAGTGTTTGGGGGCCAGCCCCCCTCTGTGTGCACCAGCCCACCGAACCCTGGTGACAGCACAGGAAGTAGCAACTGATATCATAACGAGGTCATGTGACTGCTCAAAGTCACATAGCGATGGAGTGACGGGTCTGGGACAGGAACCCAGCCAGGACACTGGGGACCTGACTCACAACTACTGTGTGCTGTTGGATTTGGAGGCAGGGAATGCTGAAGGGGGCTGGGAATTCCCTTCATCCTTCCTGGAGCGGCTATCCCCTAGGGCTCCTGACTCATGGTATCCCCTCTCCTCTCTGCTCCCAGGGACCAGAAGATGAGCTCCAAGATCCCCCAACGCCTGTTGCTGCCACTGCTGCTGCTGCTGCCAGCCCTGGGGTCCAGGGTGCAGGGCTGCCCATCAGGCTGCCAGTGCAACCAGCCACAGACAGTCTTCTGCACTGCCCGCCAGGGGACCACGGTGCCTCATGATGTGCCGCCCGACACAGTGGGCCTGTACATCTTTGAGAACGGCATCACCACACTTGATGTGGGCAGCTTTGCCAGCCTGCCGGGCCTGCAGCTCCTGGACCTGTCGCAGAACCAGATCACCAGCCTGCCGGGTGGGGTCTTCCAGCCTCTAGCCAACCTCAGCAACCTGGACCTGACAGCCAACAGGCTGCGAGAAATCACCAATGACACCTTCCGTGGCCTGCGGCGCCTGGAGCGCCTCTACCTGGGCAAGAACCGCATCCACCACATCCAGCCCGGTGCTTTCGATGCACTTGACCACCTCCTGGAGCTCAAGCTGCAGGACAACGAGCTGCGGGTGCTGCCCCCGCTGCGCCTGCCGCGCCTGCTGCTGCTCGACCTCAGTCACAACAGCCTCCCAGCCCTGGAGCCCGACAGCCTGGACACCGCCAATGTTGAGGCGCTGCGGCTGGCCGGCTTGGGGCTGCGGCGGCTGGACGAGGGGCTCTTTGGCCGCCTGCGCAACCTCCACGACCTGGACGTAGCCGACAACCAGCTGGAGCGTGTGCCGCCTGCCATCCGTGGCCTGCGGGGCCTGACGCGCCTGCGGCTGGCCGGCAACACGCGCATCGCCCAGCTGCGGCCCGAGGACCTGGCTGGCCTGGTGGCCCTCCAGGAGCTGGACCTGAGCAACCTGAGCCTGCAGGCCCTGCCGCACGAGCTCTCAGGCCTCTTCCCCCGCCTACGGCTCTTGGCGGCTGCCCGTAACCCCCTTCAACTGTGTGTGCCCCCTGAGCTGGTTTGGCCCCTGGGTGCGAGAGAGCCGTGTGGCGCTGGCCAGCCCCGAGGAGACGCGCTGCCACTTCCCACCCAAGAACGCGGGCCAGCTGCTCCTGGACCTTGACTATGCTGACTTTGGCTGCCCGGCCACCACCACCACGAGGCCCACGGTGCCCACCACGAGGCCCACGGTGTGGGAGCCCACATTCCCACCTTCTAGCCCAGCTCCCACCTGGTTTAGCCCCACAGAGCCTGCCACCGAGGCCCAGAGCCTGCCATCTGATGTTCCACCAACTGTGGGGCTTGCCCCCTGGCCCCAGGACTGCCCGGCATCCATCTGCCTCAACGGGGGCACCTGCCACCTGGGGCCTCGGGGCCACCTGGAGTGCCTGTGCCCCGAGGGCTTCACCGGCCTGTACTGTGACAGCCGGGTAAGGCAAGGGCCAAGGTCCAGTCCTGCCCCGGCCACGCCACGGCCACCCCAGCCCCTGCCCCTCGGCATCGAGCCTGCAAGCCCCACCTCCCTGCGGGTGGGGCTGCAGCGCTACCTGCAGGGCAGCCCTGTGCAGCTCAGGAGCCTCCGCCTCACCTACCGCAACCTGTCTGGTCCCGACAAGCGGCCAGTGACACTGCGGCTGCCCGCCTCACTCGCTGAGTACACAGTCACCCAGCTGCGGCCCAACGCCACCTACTCCATCTGTGTCAGGCCCCTGGGGGCCGGGAGGGTGCCTGAGGGCGAGGAGGCCTGTGGGGAGGCCCGCACACCCCCAGCTGTCCGTTCCAACCACTCCCCCAGTCACCCAGG